TTATTGATTTTTTACAGAGAGGAAGGGAGAGAGATAGAGAGTTAGAAACATCGATGAGAGAGAAACATCGATCAGCTGCCTCCTGCACATCTCCTACTGGGGATGTGCCCGCAACCAAGGTACATGCCCTTGACCGGAATCGAACCCGGGACCTTTCAGTCCGCAAGCCGACGCTCTATCCACTGAGCCAAACCGGTTTCGGCAATTAAATATATTTTTAAAAAGAAAAAGACACATCAATTGGTTGCCTCCCACATATACCCAACCGGAGCCTGGGGTCTAACCTGCAACCCAGGTATGTGCCCTTGACCTGGAATCGAACCTGCAACCCTTTGGGGCATGAGCCTATGCTCTAACCATTGAGCTCACCAACGAGGCAACTTTTTAAAAAATCCTCACCAGCGGATATATTTTAAAAAATATTTTTATTGATTTAAGAGAGAGGGAGGGAGAGGGAGAGAGAAAAACATCAGTGATGAGAATCATTGATCAGCTGCCTTCTGCACGCCCCACACGGGATTGAGCCCGCATCCCGGGCATATGCCCTGACCTGGAATCAAACTGACCCTCCAACTAACTGAGCCACCTGACCAGGGCCAAATAACTTTTTTTAAATGTATATTTTGATTTATTTCAGAGAGGAAGGAAGAGGGAGAGAGAAACATCAATGATGAGAATCATTGGTTAGCTGCTTCCTGCATATCCCACACTGGGGTCGAGCCCACATCCTGAGCATATGCCCTGACCTGGAATCAAACTGACCTCCTGAGCCATGCTGGCTGGACACAAATAACTTTTTAAATAAGGTTTATTATATTTTTAAAGAAACTGCTGTGGGTATTTGGTGTTATAGAACGACTAAAATATAGCTTAAAACACCATGTTATTCCAGATTGTCTTATGCCAGGTCAGATCATATTTTAGCATTTCATTTACTCAACCTAGAACACAGGCATTTTATACTTCTTCCTATATGAATGCTAATTTTATTGACTTATTTGGTGGGTTGTAATTGTTCTTGCATCTTAGAAGTACTTCACATCATCGTGTTTGTTCTTTGAAGCAGGAGGAGTCAGAGCCCAGTCAAATGCATTCGACCCAGTGCTCTTGGTCCTCTTAAAAGAAAAGGTAAGCATCACATTTCTGATATTAAACCTAGTTGAACTTGAACTACAGATTAGAATTTCTGCCTAAAATTAGTTTCAAGACAGGACTCCTTTTTCCTAAAGAAATATGCATTATTCTTCCCCATGTATGCTTTACTAATTCTAAATTTTGTAAATTAGTTATTTGATACTGCCCATCTTTTTTTATACTTCATAACTGAGTCTTATTCATATATTCATATTATCAATATATATTCCAAAATTTTGCCTCTTGGTGATCTGAATAGAAAAGAGATGCAAATTGATATGTTGCAGAAATATATGCTTATGTCATAGTAAATAGGTCTATAAACAAGCTGTATTCTCAAATATAAGCCACCACTAAATTACACCTTGGCAGAGAGAATTGCCTCATATTCATGTCTATAGGATTTTTGCTATAATTGGGGTGCTCTCTTAATTACCTTATTTTGAATCACAAAGCACTAAACTGAAATGATCTTACTCAATGCTAGTTTTAGATGCTTATGGGCACCTGATGGAGTCTATTAAAAAAAAGGCTAAGAAATTTAACACAGTTTTAGTCATTATTCCTGGGGATATGACCACATGATTGCAAGTGTTGGATGTCATTTTAAACAAGAGTTTTAGCAATAATTTTAAAAAGCAATTCAGTAAGTGGTTTCTTTGTGCAGATCAGCTTCAGGGCCAGTAAACAAATCAACTCTCCTCATGGTAGGTAAACGGATACTTGCCGGTTTCGGTGAAAAATTTCCAGTGATAGCATCATACACAGATTCAAAAAGTTCTGTATTTCAGACAACTTAAAATTAAAGTTGGTATGTGCTGGAAAATAGATCCTGATACACTGACAATATTTGTATTAGTGAATACTGGAAAATAGATCCTGATACACTGACAATATTTGTATTAGTGAATACTGGAAAATAGATCCTGATACACTGACAATATTTGTATTAGTGAATAAATTTTGTTTTGTAAACCAATAGTTTTTTTCTTAATTCTTTAAGGAATTATTTATAATCCTAAGAAACTTCTCAAGAGCTATTTTATGAAATTAACACACAGAAAGTAAAGCTATTATTGTTGTTGTTGTCATTAATTTTAAATTTGTTGCAGGAAATTGGTGGAATTGGTTAATTTCAAAGCTATTCCAACATATACCAGCAGATGGAGGAATTCTTTGCTAAAAAGTGTTTTGCTAATGAGGTGTTGAAAGCCAGAAGGAAGCTTTTAAAAACTGCATATTAAAGGATGGAAAAATAAATAAAAATACAACCTTTCTTCAATTTTAGTAATAGTCAGAATAGCTCCAGAGGAAAAATAATATAAATTAAGTGATAAATGGGAAAAAATTGAATGTTGTATTTGTTTTTGCTTGATCTTTTTTTTCCTCATAAGAATCTTGTAAAGGTTTAAGTTCACAGTTATTAATTTTCCTACTGGAGTATAGATAGGCCCATGACTTAAAGTTTCTTTAATATTCCATTTAAAGCTCAAATGGAGCTTCCATTTCCAGATAAAGAACTTCAAAACCAAGGTATTTGCATGTTTTATTTCATAACTTACTTGGAAAAGGGCTTTTTCTGTCTAATTTAGGGTTTAGTGTTTGCACTCCTGGTGGCAAAATGTTAAGCACTGTTCCTTTGATGCAAAGTTTTTCTATTACCAGTTCTGAGAAAATCTGTAGGATTGAGATATCCAGTATAATACCAATTTTGAGAATTGGTTAATAATTGCTTTCACTTACAGATGTGCTTTCAAACTTATACAGTCCTGCATCCTTTAACAGTGGAGATATGTTTTGAGAATTTGTCATCAGTTGATTTCATCATTGTATGAACATTATAGAGTGCACTTACATAAACCTATATGGTATAACCTACTACACATCTAGGCCATATGGTACAGCCTATTGCTCCTAGTGTACAAGTCTCTACTGCATGCTACTCTACAAAACAGCATGAGATCAAATCAAGCACAAGAGAAAATTATGCAATCAAGACACAGGGCAAACGTGAGATGTTTACCAGCGTGACATGACATACTGTTTTATAGCAAACTTTAAAAAAATTATTGAGAGTATGTTTATTAAAGCTGGAACACTGATACAAGGAAGGGCTTAGGATCGAAGAAGTAACAGGAGAGCCTAGGCGGGGCTGATTTGGCTCTCTAGAAAGTCAGAAAAGGGGGCCTTGGAGATAGGTTCTGGGGGTTAGCCTGGGACAAGCTGCTGCTGTCCATTGCTCGCCTGGTTGCAAGTCTTGTGGGGTTCCTTAGAGTCTAGGAGATGCATGCCAAAGGGGAAAAAGAGAGGAAAGGGAAAGGCATGGGCGTGGTTTTGGGAGGGAGAGTGTGCCAGCAAACTTTTTTTTATAAATACAAAGAATACACTCTAAAATAATAACAAGTATTGTATAGTAAATACATAAGCCAGTAACATAGTTATTTATTATCATTATCAAGTATTATGTACGGTACACAATTTTATGTGCTGTACTTTTATGACTGGCAGTGCAGTAGGTTTGTTTATACCAACATCACCACAAACACGTGAGGAATGTGTTGTGCTATGACCTTATGATGGCTATCACAAGGTGATAGAAATATTTCAGCTCCATTATAATCTTATGGGACCACCATCTTATATGCAGGCCATCATTGACCAAAACATTATGCAGCCTGTGACTGTATTTTTACCTTCATTTTCACTAAGTAGGCTAAAGCAACCTTTGATTTATACACTCTTTATCAGATTAATACTTTTTAAAATTGATATTTCAGAGAGAGGAAGGGAGAGAGAGAAATATCGATGTGAGAGAGAAACATCAATCGGCCACCTCTCAGGAATCCTGACCAGGGACTGAACCCACAATCCAGGCATGTGCTCTGACCAGGAATCAAACCTGCCACCTTTTGGTGCACTGGACAATGCTCCAACCAAGTGAACCACACTGGCCAGGGGCAGACTAAATACTTTTTAACCCATTTAAATTCAAATCAGGAAATGTTCTGATATTAAAACATATCAAATCCTTACTAATCATCTAGCATAAATTATTATTTGCTGTGAGTTTCAGCTATTTGGAGATACTTTATTTCTGCTGTGGTTAGCCTTGATTTACTTTGCCTGATGCAATCAGTGTTCCACTCTTCTATTAAAGAACATGACTATATTAGCAGCATGATACATATAATAAATGGGAAGGTTTTCTTTAGGGCTGTGGCCTTTTTGGTTGAGGTTATGTGGAAGTATATTTCATCTAAGTTAAACACATAGAAAATATCTTTCAAGTAACATCTTCAAGAAGTATGCTCAGCTTTGGTTAATCAGAGATCATCCTATTTTAGCACTAAGCCTGTAAAATTGCTTTACAGTACTATTCTCTTTTGTTGTTTTAGGTGAAATGGAGTCCGAAAGCCAGCCTAAGAGGCTCTTCCAAGGCACTACCAATATGCTGCCTCCGGAAAATGCACACTTGTCTGATCTCAGTTCATGGTAAAAAATGAAATAAAATCAAAAGGATATTAGGGTATGGTATATTTAAAGAGTCACATCAAAAATATATTGGGATCATTTAAAATATATTCAGCTTTTTAAAAAATATATTTGTATTGATTTTCGAGAAGAAGGGAGAGGGAGAGAGAGATAGAAACATCAATGATGAGAGAGAATCATTGATCGGCTGCCTCCTGCACATCCCCTACCTACCGGAGATTGAGCCTGCAACCCAGGCATGTGCCCTTGACTGGAATCGAACTTGGGACCCTTCAGTCCGCAGGCTGACACTCTGTCCACTGAGCCAAACCATCTAGGGCATAATTCAGCTTTTTATCCATGCTCCATAGAGGGGAAATCTATCAGAGGTGTAGATAATGTGGAAAAACACATCATTTGAAAGTCATGAGTACCTTTTTGGAAGTGTGTATCTTTTGGCACCTCCCCCTTCATTCCTAGCTCCTGTTAAGTTAGCCTCTCTCAGTAGATGCTAATGGTGTGGGAGAGTGTCAATAGCTGGATGGTGTGAGAGTTTCTGGATTGCTTGGTAACAATACACTGATTGTAGCTGGTCTGCCTGCATTTTGTATTATATCCTTCTTTAAAAATATGTCTTTATTGATTTCAGAGAGGAAGGGAGAGAGATAGAAACATCAATGATGAGAGAGAATCGTTTATTGGCTGCCTCCTGGACACCCCCTACTGGGGATTGAGCCCGCAACCTGGGCATATGCCCTTGGCCGGAATCGAACCTGGGACCCTTCAGTCTGCAGGCCGACGCTCTATCCACTGAGCCAAACTGGCTAGGGCAGGATCTTTTTTTAAGAGTCCACAAGTGCATTCACTTTAAAAGGCTTGTATCCTCTAAATGAAAGAATTGTGTAAGCCACTTATAAGGTATAAGTATTAATGATTCCTTCTTTCCAGATCACTTATTCCATGTTTTGTGGAAGATAACTTGTACTTCTAGTTGACCAGGAAGTTAGATTTTTCTAGTTTATTAGACTCGTTGATCAGCACTGTTCTAACCTTGGAACAAATGCCTTTTAGATTGTTCCAGCTATTTTCAGCCCCACAGCTTTTCTTCTCTCTCATCTCTGTTTGTCCTTGGTAGTTCGGTGTGCTAATTTTGGTACAGAGTGCCTTTCCAGGTATGTAGACGATCAAAAAGAGAAAACCTCTAAAGCTTGTCAAGATAACTAGTAGATGAAACTCTATAATTAGTAGAAACTACATATCACTTATGGTAAAGTATGTTTTAATATAGGCACATGGCATTATAAATAGATTTGCTTACTCAGTTACTAACCAAGTAACCAAGTTTGGTAAAAGATAGGAAAGGTTTTTGCCAAGCTAAAAACATACAGACAGGGTGAGGTGATTTATAAAAAATATTGTCATAGACTGATTGTGCAAGATGCTATAAAACAGGTTCATACAAATAAATAAGAAAGGAAAGAGAAGGTGTGGTATTTACCAAAAGTTCTCTTCCCTTGTTCAGCCATTTATTCCTCCAAGCAGCATCCTAAGCTTTAGACGATGGTGGCTGTTGTGAGGTTTCTATTTCTGTTGCCCCTACTTCCATTCTCTGAGGACCTGTGACTGGCAATGAAAGTCCTGGGAACATTGATGATAAAGGGCACTTTTGATCCATAAACACAAAAAGTGTTCCCTCACACTGGAGAGATTTGCTTTATTCACGGCCACTCATAGAATTCTGTGAAGCCAACATATGGCTCAAATGATATGTTAAAAAGAAATTTATTACTCAAAATTCACAAAACTAAGTTTCAAATATATTTAAGCAAATTATAAATTTAAATGACATATTTAGTAAGTTTATAGCATTTGGACTTCCAAGGATATTAAAACTTAATATTTCACTAAGTTTTTTGGGACACCTTATATATTAATATTGTTGACATTTATGTCTATAGCTAAGATATTTTGAATATGAGTTATCCCTGATATGTAAAAATTGGATCCTGCCTTTGCAGAAACTTTTTTCTCTCTCTTTAATGTATTTTCATTGATCAGATATACATATTTCTAGAAATGGTGAGAAAGACAGGAAGTAGTTGTGTTCTGGTTTTTATTGCCACAGATAGCAATCTACTTGATAATGAAACCAATGAAACAATTTTTATACCATTTAGGGAATAAAAAATTATCAGATCATCAGTAAATGATCTTTTAAATTGTTATAGTTAATTCCTTGACCTACCCTACAAATAAAAGATGGGCTTTAACACTTTAAATTAAAGTTTATATATTAGATAATAACCTTTAAAATATGACATCTTTGAAATAGAAATTAAATGTGAAGTTTGAGTATGTGTCCATTTGGAATTAGTGTCCAGTGTGCCAACTGCCACCCAAAGAAATACTAAGCCTATTCTTTATATCATATTTTTTACTAACTGAAAATTCTGAAATTTCTGATAATAAAATCTGGGGAACATTGTCACCGCAAGACAGGAATTATGCCATTCTGCATTTAGTCTTCATGAACATCAAGAGTTTTAAGTACACCTTTCTTTACATGGTGCTTTGATTTTTTTTTTTCCATGGTGGGAACTCATGTTCTGCTCCTCATTTTTGGGAGAATAAGTCCGTAGCATGAAAATTAAGGAATTTGCCTGGCCGGCATGGCTCAGTGGTTGAGTGTCGACCAATGAACCAGGAGGTCACAGTTTGATTTCAGATCAGGGCACATGCCCACGTTGCAGGCTCGATTCCCCAGTGTGGGGCATGCAGGTGGCAGCTGATCAATGATTCTCTCTCATCATTGATATTTCTATCTCTCTCTTCCTTCCTTTCTGAAATCAATACAAATATATATTAAAAAAAGAAAATAAAGGAATTTTCAAGGCTGCTAGTCAAGATTAAGTGGTAGTCTATTTCTCCTACAGAAAAAGTAAAAGTCTTCAATGAAGTTTCAATTTTAATGTGACTGCTAATTTAACCCTTAGGATTTAAATTTTTTAGATTAATCTTAATTATTTTAGCATTATTTTAATGTTATATGTATCATGACAAGAAAATTTTATAGTGAATGTGTGACATACCAAGAGTAAGGTTTATTTATTTATTTTATATATTTTATTTTTATTTTTTGTTAATCCTCACCTGAGGGCATTTTTCCATTGATTTTTGTAAAATATATTTTTATTGATTTCAGAGAGGAATGGAGAGGGAGAGAGATAGATACATCACTGATGAGAGAGAATCATTGATTGGCTGCTCCTTGCATGCCCCCTACTGGGGATCAAACCCAAAATCTGAGCATGTGCCCTTGACTGGAATCAAACCTGAAACCATTCAGTCTACAGGCCGATGCTCTATCCACTGAGCCAAACCAGCTAGGGCTCCATTGATTTTTTAAAGAGGGTGAAAGGGAGGGGGAGAGACAGAGAGAGAGAGAGAAAGAGAGAGAGAGAGAGAAACATCGATGTGAGAGAGGCATTGATTGGTTGCCTGCTGCAAGTGCCCCCACAAGGGTCAGGATGGAGCCTGCAACCAAGATACGTGCCCTTGACTAGAATCAAACCCAGGACCCTTCAGTCCATGGGCTGACGCTTTATCCACTAAGCCAAATCAGTTAGGACCCAAGAATAAAGTTTAATCATGATTTATTTATTAATAGAAATATATACATATACTTTGAACATGTTTATGTGAGATACTGTGCAGATACTGTGCCGATACTTTTAAACTCTTGTTCCCAAAGTGACTGTGAAAATTATCATATTTAAATGTATGATCTTAAGAATTTAGAGCTCATGTGGGAAGATAATCTTGGGCCTTACTAAGGTAAAATAGTAGAGACTAGAGAAAATGCCCTATGGACCAGTTTAACCCACATCAAGGAGTAAGGATGCCCTGTTATCTTACCTTATTTCAACATCTGCTGAGCTTCATAGGGCTGTGGCTAATTTTTAGTGCACTTACCTGTCTATTCATCAATCTGATTGAACCCAGTTTATTGACTGGATAAGGCAAAGTGACTCAACCAGATGGGGTGAGAGTATGTGTCACAACAGACATCCTAGTTTTGTTGTTTGCATGTTTTAATGATTCTCTTACAATTTCACCCTTAGTTTTTTTAGACGGAAGGAATTACTTTAACAGTCATAAGTATATTTGGTTGTGTGGTTCAGATAGTGCCTCAACATTATGTTCAATGGTTGGAATGAATTAGTTCTCTCTCTCTCTCTCTCTCATTCAAGGATATTTTTTCATTGATTTTTAGAGAGAGTGGAAGAGAGAGGGAAAGACAGAGAGAAATATCAGTATGAGAGAAACACATCGATTGGTTGCCTCCTGCATGAGCACCGACAAGGGCCCAGGCCAGGGGGGAGCCTGCAACCGAGGTCCATGCCCTTGACTGGAGTTAAACCCAGGACCTTTCAGTCTGCAGGCCCACGCTCTGTCCACTGAGCCAAACAGGCTAGGGATGAATTAGTTCTCTTTTGGAACTGCAACCAAGATACGTGCAGGTCTTTTTTTTTTTTTTGAAGGTACAGTCAATTACCCTTTTTGTCTTTTATTAGATAGGATTTTTTAAATTAAATCTTTATTGTTCAGATTATTACAGTTGTTCCTCTTTTTTCCCCCCATAGCTCCCTTCCACCTAGTTCCCACCCCACCTTCTGCCCTTACCCCTGCCATTGCCCTCATCCATAGGTGTATGATTTTTGTCCAGTCTCTTCCCGCACCCCCCACACC